TGCTTTCTGCCATTAGGGTGGTATTGTCTGCATATCTGAGGTTGTTGATAGTTCTCCCTGCCTGCCTCAAAGAACAAAAGTTCCCAAACAAATTTCTCAGGGGGACCATCAGCCTTGGGATTTGGGGGCCTAGGGGACTGTCTTTGCCATTGACTCGCCAAGCTTGATGAGATGCCTTCCCTGGAGGATCCCTCCCCGTATCTTTTTATCCAGCCCCCCCCCAGGAGTCACTTTTCTTGTTCTTCAGGTAGAGGGAGAGCCCCACGGCCAGGAAGACCACCCCCACCACAGCCCCCACAGCCCCCATCCAGAGCTTGCTCTTGGCAGCGTTGGAGGAACGTGGCTCTGGGGAAGGAGAAGGAGCCTCGCGTGAGCAGGAGGATCAGGGCCAGCTTACACCCAGAGAGGATCTTTCCAGCCCCCTCCCAGAGAAGACCCCTTCTCAGTGCAGGATGGTGTCCCCAGACCAGGAGGGAAGGGAAGGAAGGGGCTTACCCCACTGGACAATGATGGGGGCCTCCAGGGTGGCGTGCCCCACCTTGCAAGCGTAGATGTCCCCACGCTGGGGCTGGGTCTCCAGCATCACCTGGAGCTGGTAGATCCAGTCTCCATTCTGGAGCTCCTCCCCGAAGGCGATGCCCTCCTTCTCCGGCCGCCCGTTCTTCAGCCACTGGACGTCGATCTCCAGGGGGTAAAAGCCCGTCGCGGTGCAGAGGAGGACGGTGTTGGGGGAACCGGGGTCCATCTTGGTGGGGGAGATGGTGACGGTGGGCTTGGCTGGAGGGGAGGGAGAAGGAGGGACGTGAGAGACTCAACAGGGCCCAGAATGGAAGAGCAAGTCAGTTGGTTCAGGCCAAGGTCCGTCTTAGTCTCAAAAATGTTCTGTGTTTTAAGTCCCCTTTCCAAGAGTTTTATTTGGAGAGAGGGAGAAAAACGTAACTCTCTTCTTTTGCAGCCTTTCCTGTCCACTGTTGAGTCGGTTAAATTTGATTCTGGACGAGGTGAGAATTAAGCAGATTCGGACCTGGCTCAAAAAGGCCATCGGATGACTAAAAAGTCAGTGATACAAATTCTAGAAACTGAATAAAATCCCACATGATCTGGATGACACAGAGAAAGGAGCAGAAAACAAGCAAGATTTAAGGGGGAAAGAAGTACAAACTGCAATGTGGCTCAAACTGGCACAACTCTTGGATGGATTAATGGAGGGGTCCCCAAAGAGGGTCCTTAAGGGCTCCCTCCAGCTGGGGAGGGGTCTTGGATGGCATCCCGGGGTCTGTCCTGGGTCTTTGTGCCCTTCAACATTTGGATCAGGGAGTTGGGGGGAGATCGATGAAGCTTGTGGCCTTCCAGGAGGACGTCTGTGGGCCAAGACAAGGCTGATTCTCTCTCCCTCGTCAGCTGCAAAAATCAAAATGTTTCTGCATCTTCTGGTATTATGGCTCGTAACAGGGGTGTAGGGAGTAGAAATTACCTTTTAACAAAACTTCTTAGTAACAAGCTAAACTCCTTAGTAACAAACTTCCTAGTAACAAGGCTCTCTGAAACTAAATGGTTAAAGTCATCAGACTTGGAATTTGAATGTGTTTACAGAAAGGAAGCTGTCACACAAACCAAGGTGAGAAATGGGGATGAAAGCTAAGGAAACAAGTGTTGCCTTTTATTGGCAAGAAAGTGCGAATCAGGGAAGGGAGAGAAGATAACCACACACAGGGCAGTTATTTAGGAAAGACAGATGGTCCTGGGCCTTGACACTTATCTCAAGAAAATTATAAACTGTGAACAAGAA